ATGATTTATAACCTTAGGTGAAGTGATTTATAAGATGCCAGTTTAGTCTTTCTTTTCAGACTTTCAAGGTCCTTTGCAGATAACAACCCCACAGCTGGCCGCAAGTGTGGGAAAAACAGGTTGTTTTTCTTCTCGCTCTTTTTTCTCTCAAAGAACTAACTTTTCTGATTCACACCGTTGACAGTTGTTCTTGTCTGTCGTTGGAGTAAGCATGGTTCTGACTGGGTCTCTCTAAGGTGTGCGTGTCCATCTCTGGGCACCTGTCTGGATGGAGTCTGAATGTTATTAACCTAATTTTACTGCCGAGAAGCGACTGAGACCAGCGCCGGGAGCCACTGAGGCTCGCTAGGGGTGAGACAGTCTTCTCAACCCCCTGCTGTCATGACCGACATTATCCATCTTGCGGACTTCGGACTTCGTGATGCTGACACTCTCAAACCCTTCTACCTGCCTGCCTGTTCGGCTCTGTCTGAAGACATCTAAAGGTAGAACAAATGTTTGCTGAGATAAAACGCCGAAGTGAAGTCTAGCTCCGGAGGTGTCTCGTGTCTGACATGCTGTTTGGTGCTGGTCTGGTCTTGACATGGAGAACAAGTGCTAAATTCACTAATTTCTTTTCCTCCTATCCTTAAAGCTATAAACCTTTACTATCCTTATTCTCTTTTTACTTAAAACTTAGTTAAGCAGCGTACCAGCAAATTACAACACCTGGAACTTACTGTTTATGACGACTCTGAGGTGGAATTCATATGTCGGAAATATAACTTGTGTTCATTTATTCATATAATGTTTTTAATAAATGTTTGTGTGTTTAATCCTGTTCATATAGCTAAAATAAATTACTTTATTTGGAAATACGTTCAGGTCACAAATTTTCATTTCTCATTCATGATCAGGGTGGGTATTTCATTATTTGTCTGGGATTTCATAATGCAAGATCTTGAGGGATTATTTTGTGAGATTGGGCTGGTCCTAATTTCATAGGGTGGTCTCTTACAAATGCTATGATTGATAAGAAGAATCTTTTTAGTTTAAGTTTTGTTTAATCGTATGTTTTCATCAATCATTAGTCATTGATCAACCAGTAATTCAATGATTGTATTATGCTGGTCTGAATGTATGTTCTAGAAATGTTTGTGTGCTGATCACAGTGTGCCCAGACATATTTTGATTTCTTCACCTACAGTTTCACACTCCACAGTCATGCACCTGACATAAACAAAAGTTTGTTCTCATTCTTCCTGTTCTCCCTCTGCTAGGCTCTGACTGATACTCAGTTCTGTCCTGACTACAGTATTGCTGGTGCTTCCTGCTTGAAGCTGAAGAAAACGCCTCCTCAGCAATTTGTTGCTTTTCTGTTTTGTTAAGCTGAGTTTCACAAGAAGTAAAAGGCAAATTTATAAATTTGTCAATATGTATTACTCTGGATTACTCTGAGAGCTTAGAGCCACAACTGACCCAACTCTGGAGTATCTCCTGAGAGTCTAATAAACTGTCTGACTGGACCGGCAGGTTTGTCGTCTACTCGTTTCAAGAGATGAGCCAGCAGAGAAAGGCCCTTTTGTCTCCAACTGCCGTTTTAGGTTGAGACCTCATCAAAACCTGCCTTCCTGCTGATTCCCCGTCATTATCTCCCGAGAGGTAACGGACACACCGGAAGTCACCTGGTTCTTATAAAATCTGCAGCCTCAACCCATTCTCACTCCCGGGTCGTCACATACTGAAGCTTTTCCAAAGTTCCCTCTGCGTCCCCTTGCATCATTTTTTGACGAGATGGGGCGGAGTCTGTTGTCATAACTTCAGAAAGTGTAGAAAATGCACAAAAACTACGTCCCAAAGCCTAAAATTACCTGTATTCACTTTAGACATCCTGTCCCTGACCCCAGTACCTAAACTTAACCAGTTATCCTGATCCCTCATGTTAACCTCAGACCCCCGACCCAAAGACCCCCTGGTGGCGCAACCCGAAAAAGCCGCGGGCGGCAAAGACTGACGCAAGAGGGTCACCCGACGCGTCAAAGTAAGACGCAGAGGGAACTTTGGAAAAGCGTCAATATGTTGATGAGTCGGGAGTGAGAATGTGTTAGCAGCCTCATCACAAAAAGCCGCTTACTGAAGACCAGAAGTTAGAGTAACTCTGATAAAAACTGCTCTCCCTTCTTCCTCTCTTATACAGTATATCTTCTTCTTTCCTTTATCTCCCTTTTAAAACTTTTCTTGATCTCTCTTCATCACTCATATACATAAAACTAAATCTTCACACAATCACACACATTGTTAAACCTCACACATAGTGCAAACACATATAAATAAATCACAAACACACAGACACAACACATTTTTGGGTTCACGTTTGATGATGTTGATGATGATTCCTTTATTGTCTTTGTACAGAGCACAATGAAATTACATTTAAGAACACCCATTCAAGAGACATACATGACAAAATCATGGGGGAACAGGTGATCAGGTCATGTGGCAACCAGCAGAAAAAAGAAAAACTAAAAACACAGAAGGTTAGATGAGGGATAGCCTGGTCCTTGACTTCCTACACAGCTCCGCTCAATTCTAGTTTCCTTCACTGCTCCGTCTGGGATTTCTCCCAAAAACAAGGATTTCTTTGAGAGAATTTTCGTCCAGGAAAATCAGAGAACAGAACGTTGATTTTCTGCGCAGTGTCTGCTAGTTATTTTAGCATACAGCAGTGGAGGAAGTGAATGAAGCCAGTCTGTGTTGATAAGGCTTCAAATTAAATTAAATGTGTCTGACAAAGCAGCAGCTCTCATTTACAGTCGTCTCGTTCAGCTCGGTACTTCTCTCCTCTCAGTAGGGTTGTTTACAGAACACAATTTCTGGTTAGCTTCTTAGCTTAGCCTCCTTCACAATGACATACGTAGCCAGCGTCAGTTGTTTGGGAACAGAAGAAAATGTTTTCGTCAGGCAGACAATAATTTTCCATCTGCCTTAATGTCCGCTGGAA